CTCTTCCAACCAATCATTCATTTATTCAATTATTTGTGCTTTAAATCTGATTTTGTACTCATTTTGTGCCCAAAGACTCGGCGACTGGACTCCGCCTCCGTCTGGACATCCCTTCGATAGTGAAAAGTGGTTCATCCGTTTGGCTTCACTGCGATTACGACCTCGAAATGGATTCACTCTATTCTGTTAAATGGTATCAACTCTATGCAATCAATCAATTAATTTATTTATTTATTGCAAAAACATATGCAAACAAATAAAACTGAAACCAAAATCTAACAAATGAAATGTCACTAATAAATACGATTATCGACTCGTGATTTGATGTGATTGTCATTTTAGGTACAAAAACAATCAGGAGTTTTACCGATACATGAGTGAACCCGATTCAGTGCCAGACATACAGCCTCATCGAGTTTTCTATCAATTGGGCATTTATGTCGATGTGAGTACTCAATACAAATCTGTCACACATTTGTCTCTTTCTTCTTCACTTTTCCCATTCATTTCCATGCGTTGGACACAAATTGAATGAATTATTTCTAACTTTTTATTTCTATTTAATATTTTTATTTCGCTTTAAAATAGTTATCAAAATCTAATTCAACGCATGTTTACCTAAAGAAGACTGATCTGAATACTGAGGGCACGTTCACAGCCGAGGTGTCCACCACTACATTCAAATCGGTTTGTTTTAAACCATTTTAAAATGATTTCCAAATGTTGTTTCTTTAGTATATTTAACATTTTTATAAAAATATATCTCATTTTAATTAATTACATGTTTAGGTAAAACGACTTAAAGATTTACGCATATATGGTATGTATTTTTCGTCAAAAAAGTATATTAAAAACATATGTTATATCACTTTCACTCTTTTTTTCCTTCAAACACTTGTTTGAAGAGAAAATAAATATCAAAAAGTATTAATAATAAAGCGAAAGAAATAGACATATCGTATGAATAGAAAACTATTTTTCATTTCTTATCTAAAGTATAGTTCAAAATTAAGTGAAGCTTTTCTGATATAAAAAGAATTTTTAAAAATATATTCAAATATTAATGATGTTTAGTCGCTATGAAAATATGAATTCTTTATATTTAAACTCAAACATATGTAAGAGTTTTTGAATTAAGATAAAAAAAAATAGTATCCCTTTTCACTCCCCCTTTGCTTTACAATGAAGTGATGTTAATATTTATTGTGTTTATTATTCTATTTAATAAAACAATTGATTTCTCAACGAAAGAAATTTCCTTATCGTTGACTGAATTTATACTCAATTTATTTCATGAAATATTTATATTGAATTTGAATATTACATATGATTCTCAATTCAATTTATCAAAGCTTAAGTTATATAGATATTTTTGAACCCGTTTTTGACATTCATTTCTGACATATTCTGTGAAGTTTTTTTTGCAAATTCTTTATCTATAAATATTTGAATATATTTTTTTATCACTAAAATATTCAATCAAGCATTTAATTATTTATTGCCCGCAAAACATAGCAATTATTATTATAACAAACACTATAATAAATATATGATTGAAATACCAGCGACTGATTTGCGAGTTTCTAAATATTATTATATTTAATATAAATATAAGAAAATAATCCAAACCCTGATTGCGCTTATTTTGTTAGACAACTTGCAAACCAAACATACGGTTAGTTTATATATACAATATAGAAAGTATACACTGTTTCTAAATATCCAATAGAATATGAACTAAAATTTTGATATTATTTGTTGAATTAAACAAATACTAAAATAAGTTATCATTAAAAGCAGCGAAACATTACATAAATATAGAAATAGCGGAAAAATACATATAAATTGCAATCATTTCAATGATAAACATTAGTTGAGTTTCAATGAAAACATCAGAAGCCATATGAAAGTAAATAAAACTTCATTTTTCTCTCTAAATATTGGATTTTTGGTTTTGACTTCTGTCTAAACGAAGGAAAGGTTCACATAAATGGCTAGAAAGCAGTTATATTAGAGATTGCAATACCTGTGCCAACCATATTCACCATTCATTACACCCAATGCACAGACTTTTCGGTCTTTTCTTAACCGATATTCAATGGAAACTCTTATTTCTTAATCACAAACACATCAATAATTAAAAAGTTTGAATGCATTCCGCATTCGGAGCACAACTTATAACTGCTTTATATATAAACGAAAGGAAAGAGTGCAGAGAAATAGGATTCTCGGCAGAGATTACATATAAAAATTGAATTAAGTTTTCGCTAGTAATACATACACTTTAACTGTTATTATTATTACTATAATATATATTCAATTTATATGAGTTTCAATGTCTGGTTGTGTGTAAAACCCAATGCAGTGCTACCGCAGAGAGAAATTGAAATAATGGGATCCAAAGCCGAGTATAAGATGGGAGAGGATGTACTCAATTTGACGTGTGTTGCAGCCAAGTCTAAGCCAGTTCAAATTCTGGCATGGTTTCTTAATGGCATTAGGGTAAGCCACAACTTTCCATACCATACACATCCATATTATACAATTATGCAACTCATAAATGCACTAAATTGTATTACAAATCAAACACGTTCTCTAATAATCATATTTTATGAATGAATAAAAATGTGAATTATATATAAAGTATACATATTTTTATATTTCCATATCTTATATAACTTTGAAAACAATGTTTTATATCTCAATTGAATTGTATATGAATTGAAAGGTACTGCGAAACGACCCTCACATCAACTTAAGCCATCCGGATATTGATGTCTCCTCTGATGGACTCGTGTCGTCAAGTCTTGGTATTAGTCTCTCATTGTTGTCTAATGATCACCATTTGTCTAATGGAGTTTTGGCATTAAGGTATATATACTGCAACTCTCTCTCTCTCTCTCTCTCTTCTGTGTCTACATTTATATTGAATTTTATTTTTATTGTAATTCTAGAACTTTTTAAGATTGCAATTGCTTTTTGCAAAACATAACATATAATATGTATATAAATACAAAATAAGAAGTATAACAAAGTATAACAATGTAATGAAATTCGTGCAAAATTCCTGATTTACACAAACGAAGCCAACAATGATTTGTTCGCTAATATAACACTGTTTTGTATGAGATTTTCATGTTATCGCACAACTCGTCTAAATCTTCATTCAAAATGTCTTTTGTGTTTCAATTATTTAAAAAGCACAACAAAACACAATATATGCAAGAAATGCAATTTTGCTTATTTATTATTTATAAAAATAATAATAACATACTTATCAATAAAATAATTAATATTTGTAAACTTATTAAGATAATTAAAAAAGGTTTGTAGAACAAAATATGATATTAAATAATATATAAAAATTATCTTAATATTAGTTTTAATAATTTTTATGTAAAATATGAACTCAAATAAAGTGCACATATTTTTTTATAGCGATTTAAATAACTCCATCTCTAAACATATCATCACTAAAAGCCTGCACTCAATAAATACTAGCAAAACGTTAGATACAAGTTATTAAAAGTAATTTAAGACTATATTTTGAATTCATTTCAATGAGTACTTCATGTGGTAAATGACACGGAAATCAGTGCTCCGTTTGCCACACAATCACATCCAATAAACATTGGGTTCTAATCGCTTAACTGATGGCAAAACATCACTTAAATTTATAATAATAAAAGTTTTTACTTTAAAACAAAAAACACTATTCAATGGTTAGCCATTACTATATGGTTTGAATTTTGATATTTTCAAATACAATGTTTTAATTGCATTCGATAAGTCTATAATAAAGATAAATAAAATAATAATTTACAATAAAAATTGCATTTAATAAGTGTTTTCAAAAAATTATTGCCAAAACCTTTTTACTTTGCAATATATTTACATTATATAAAAAATGAAATAAAAAGAAATGTTTATAAATATTTATTATTTTTAAAGTTTATTTCCTGGTTAAATAAATTTATAAAAATGTGTTGAATAATTCATGAAGAATATGAATCGAGAGTATTATGTATTATATCTGCATATAATTTGTTTGTTAGGATTAAAGAGATGGATGAGTGAGCGTTTGGGTCTAGTATTTATTGTGTAAATGCATTTCATGTTTAGCATCCGATTCCTGGGATCCCATATAAATAGTCTCAGGAAGTGCTGGTAATAGTGGGGGAGCTCTTCATCTCTCTTTCTCTCTCTCTCTCTCTCTCTTCTTTCTTTCTTTCTTTCTCCTTATCCAATAAATAAGTGCATAAATTCGGTGCAATATATAGTTAAATGTAGCAAAAACAGCGCATAAAACCTCTTTATTATACAATTGTGTCGATTAAACACAGAGTATATACTGTACTATACCATACATCGAGACATACACCTGAACTTACAGTGTATTTGTTGGTAGAGTGACCAACTCGAAAAATGAGAAACCTGTACATTTCCTATACTTTCATCATATATTCCGCGACATTCCTGTACATTTTAGTAAACTTCCCTGTACGCTCACCTGGACACTAATTTTCTCAACAGAATAATTATAGATAATCATAAGTTGCACACACCATTCATCGCATTCCTGTACAGATAGGATCGTGTATATTATGACGAGATAAATTAATTGAAATTGAAAATATAAACGTATTTTAACTACAATTTTGACAAAATTAAAAGATATTTGCGTATCTTAGATTGAAAACTAAAAATATTGATATAAAAGTACAATACTTTGAGCTTATTTTTATCAATTTCTCGCCTGGATATTATATAGTACAGGCGAGACCCCTGCCTGTACACTGAACAGATTCTCCAAAACCTGTACTGTACAGGCCAAACCTGTACGGTTGGTCACTCTATTTGTTGGCCATTAAATCAATCACTGACTCAATAAAATGGCAAAAACATATCTTCTTCGTGTTTGGTCTCAATCTGATGTATATCTAGTACTAAATGTCTGTATATCTTAATTATTTCTATAGTTATACTGAGGTATTCGTTAAATAACTTTAATATAATTGATTGCATTCATGGAAACACAACACACAGAATGTGTGTATAAAAGTCTGTATAAGAGACACGATTTATGGCTCATTAAATACTATTAGTGAAATATTCTGTACTAAAGAATTGATTTATATTTAATTACTTAAACAATAAACACAATTATATTTATTTAAATTTCTCGCATATAGTGATAAGTAAGCCGTGAAAACGATACGCCGAGTCGTCGTCTCTTAAAGACTAGAAACAAATTGAAAATTGTTTTGTGAACTAAAACTATCGACGAATGATTGAGTGATGTTTTAACACAGAAAGCGTTTACTTTAAAATGTATTGTAATTTCAGATCAGTTGAGCGCAAGAATATTCGCCTCAAAATGTAATCTTTTAAAGCGATCGTAAATATCAATCGACAATAATATGAAGAAATAAAACAAATTTTACAGAAAAACATATCAAATAACATGAGAGGACAGGAATTCTGAAAATCCATTTTAAGTTCTTAGACAACAGTTTCATATTAACTGTAAACGATATGAACGTAAGAATGGCTTAAATAAAACAAATATTTATCAATTGAAACAATCAATTATTATTAGGATAGTATTGAATGCGAGATAAATTATTATTTGGTAATATCAAAGGTACTACAATATTATACAAACAATTTTTAATTTAGTTGGATTTCAAACATTGTAAAAATTAATATTTCATTTTTGTAATCAAATATAAATTGTGTTAATATCTCAATCAATTGTGCAATCGATTATTTATCATAAGTCATGAAAATGTAATACAATTTTATGAAAACTGTTTTCTATCTAAATATCGTAAACACAGTCGAAGTGATTATTATTAATGGGTTTTGTATTTGCTTTGAAAGAATGGCCAATAATGGAGAAGAAGGACGATATGATTGTGTTTATACAACAGAGGATTCTCACACTCATTGTGATAAATAGGCAAATGACAAATGATTAGTGATTAATAACCTTATTTTGCAATAAACATCGCTTTCTCATTAAAAGTTTGAATTATAATTATTTATGGGAATGAATGTGAAATCAAAAATAAGAGAATATTCATAATGAAAATACTCTTAAATGTTGTTATTGTTATCAAAGGAGCAAATAATATAATAACCACTTTTGAAAGAATAATAATAAAATTGATGCAAAATATAGAGAAGAAAATAAAATAATATATCCAACAATATTTGTTCAACACTTGCTTTAATATATATTTCTTATTCTTAGCGCAAAAACTCTTATCAAACGAGAAAACAAAGAATAATTTCATTACATTTCTATTAAATGTACACTTATTTTATCATTTTACTCTTGGCTTTTATTCGTGTTTCTTGTTTTGTCTCATCCAATATCACACGCAATACATAAGACAACACTCTATAGACTTGTAATACTTATTTTATCACTTTCTTTCTCTCACACTAACACTCACTCTTTCTCTCAATGTATGTCATCATTAATTCGAGTAAAACATTATTGTTTAACACCAGAAAATCATTCATAAAACTTAATTAGATATTAATCCCGTAGTTTGCGAGACCTCTCATATTATTTCATTAGATTTTCAATTATAACAAGGAATTTATGGAAATAATATGATTGTATATCAATTGCTTTAATAAATAAGGTTTGCTTTTTATATTAATTATCATGGACGTTTTTTTGTTATCAATCACATCCAAAGTTAATACCACACATTCCTTATGCTTCTGGTATTAATATATAATAAACAACTGTTCAGGCATTCAATTCATTAAATAGTCTGTCAGTCTATTAATACATCAATTGAATGTCATTAAACTTATTAATTATAAGTTAAAAACACGGCTCTAGAGTCTAGACAGAAATGATAAGAAATCAATAAATCATATGAACGCCGATTATATAAATCACAATAAAATTAGTTAAAAGTAAAACATAAATAAAGAGTAAATAGTTTAGTCATTTATTGCATCAAATATTTGTATCGATAGACTATAATATAAATGTTAATTCAGCGGACAATAGGGTGTCGTTAAAGATATTTATATTGTTAATAGCGATGATGCGATGCCTTAACAAACAAATTAATGTATTGTAATATTATTATCCAAATAATGCCTAATAATATCTGAAACTTGTCTTTTAGTGTCTGATTGTCAAACAGACTAATATTTAGTATACATTGGTCTGACATTTGGACGACACAAACACAACACACAGAACATTATCTAAGTTAACGGTAAGACCCATTTGATTGAGTGAACAATCAATACGAGTATAGTATATGAAGAGAGAAAGAGTGGTGTCTTTGCGTGTATTATTGACACGAAATACAACACAACCTCTTTGTGAGCCAAAGATAGACCAAAAACAATGAGTTCGTGTATTTGTGTCCATACATACAGTTATAGCAAATTCCTGTTTTGATTATGTAATACGAGTTAATTTCCATATATTTTTATATATAGGAATCGATTAAAATGAATAAAATAATTATTGTAATGATAATCACAAACCAAATATAAGAGTTTCTATTTGTGAGACAAGTTTTATATAATAATAATAAACATATAAACATAATAGAAATTCATATATTATTGTTATTAGTTTTGCTAATATATAAGATATAACTTTCTCTCTTTCTTAGATGATATACCGTCTGAAAGACACAACACATATAATTCTGTGTACAACACATAAAAATAAATTGAAAAGAAAATTGAATGAAATATATATAACAAGAAAAGAATAATTCCTTTCTTTACAACCCTCTCTCTCTCTCTCTCTCTCTCTCTC